GGCTAGTGCCCGCGGCTACCGCCTACTGTGGGGTCCAGGATGCCCTGCGCGCAGAGGGGAGCCGCTGAGCCCTGCCTGGTCGAGAGAGCACAGGCTGCAGCCACAGGAGGTTCCAGGACTCTTCCTGGCCCCTCCCCAGCGCAGGTCTTCAGAGCCCCAGGCCAGGATGCGAAGGCTCTCAGCCTCCAGCCTGCCTGCAGGCAGGGCAGGGGGTAGGGTGTCCTGGTGACAAAGAGGCCCTCTGGACAGACCAGCTGCCGGCCTTGGCCTTGCCCGGGGTCAGTGCACAGGTGCACCCCCAGTCAGAGATCACACCCCCACTGCCAGTCTTTGCAGCACAGAGCTCCTGGCACGGAGGCCTCACCAGATGACTGCTAGGGTGAACCGGGGCAGAGGAGCAGGAAGACACCCCCAGACTGCAGGCAGCCTAGGGTTCCTGAGGAAGTGGGGTCAGCACCCCCGGGAGCCCACCTCCTGCTCTCTCTGCTGGCCCACCCAGCTTCAGCAGCGGCAGCAGGCCCGCCTCCCGGCCCTGGCCCGACTCTGGACTCTCTGGGTGACAGGAGGCCTGAGTGTAGAGACCAGCTGGGAGGGGCGGGGTGGGGCTTGCTTCCCTGCCAGCCGTTTATTTTTAATTCCTGGCTCTAGTTCGATAGTATCAGCAGCAGCGATGTGCAGGTCATCGAGAGCCCAGGCTGTTCCTGCCTCCTGTCTGCCTGTGCCCTGGGACAGGGCTCGGGAGTCCTGGGCTGCCACAGGCAGATGCAGGGACAGTCAGTCGAAGGGCCTGCCCCTCTGAGAGGCCCTTCTCCATTCCGGGAGAAGTGCTGGCCCCACCATGCCCTGCATCCCACTTTCACTAGCTCCTCACGCCTGTGGCTGGCCTGTGGGGCCCTATGTCAGGACCCCGGGTCTGGCCCTGGTGGGCATGCACAGGGCTGACCTCAAAGGTGTGCGGGCCTGGCTCACTCTGCACACACATCTTCTGGGACCTGGATGAGGAAGAAGCCCTGACCTTGGGCTGCCCACCCCTCCTGAAAACTTGTTCATGGTCCCCTCGTCTGTCTGGGACTCCCGGGGACTCCCTACTGCCCACAGAACATGGCCCACCTCTGGCTGGGCGCTCTGACCCCAGAGAGCCAGGCACAGTGGGGAGCAGCGGCTGGGTCCGCTGGGACTACGCAGGCCTCGGGGGCCGGGTGCCCTGGAAGATGTCAGCCCTGGCTTTGGCGTTCTGGGCACCGAGGGGGTCCAGGGCAGGACAGGTTTTTCCCAGTCTGAGAGGGAGGCTGGTTCTGGCTGGGTTCAACCTGGAGCCTCAGGGACGTCCCTGGAGAGCCCAGGTGGGCCAGGAGCTGGGGGTCAGGGTGCTGGAAACGGCAGAGCAGGGGCTGGCCAAGAAGGCCTGGAGCACACGAAGGGGCTCAACAGGGTGGCTCTATTCACTGAGCGCAGACCCTGGGTCCCTTCTTTCTTCAGGCTTCTGAGCCTGTCTGCAGCCACTCCTCTGCCATCCCCTCTGTCCCGGCCCTCCTCCCTCCCCGGCTCTTCGGCCCACAGCTCGCACCCTGCCCTGGGCGCCCGCCTTCCTCCGGGCCTGCGCTCCTCGCGCCCTGCGTGCGCGTCTCTCTGGCTCGCTCCCGCGCTGCATCCTCTCGCGTCCCCGTCGCGCTGTCCGCGCGTCCGTGGGCCCGCGGTCCCTGCATCCCCGCCCCGCCGCTCCCCGCCCCCCGCCGGTACCGCATTGCCGTACTGCAGGGGCGCGGTGCACTGCGCCCGCACCGTCAATAGGTGGACCCCCTCCTGGAGAGATAAAACCCGGCGCCGGCGCCGCCAGTCCCTCTGGCTGAGACCTCGGCTCCGGGTAAGGACACTCGGCCTGCGGTCCCCGTCCCTGTCCCAGCTCTCCGCCGAAGGACCCCTCCCCAGAACCGGTCCGGGGGCGGGGAGGGGCCGGCCACAGCTCGCGGGATGCTGCGCTGTTCCCCTGGGGCCATCGGCCACCCTTC